CTCTTATACATGATTATTAGTAACAAACTACAACTAATGACTGATGACTATAATCGTGTTGCATCCATTGACCTTACGCGCCTTACGCACAGGCGCCCCATTTCTCTCCACTAATACTAGCAGCGAATATTTCAGCAGCCGATGGCCATGTCATTATGCTTGGACTGACTTGTTTGGTGTGTGCAACAGGAAATACTTCGCTTTTGGAGAACAAGAAAAATAGGTTTGTTTGCATTACACTTATTAATTTGTGCAGTTATTCAGTGTCTGGTAAGTTAATGTTCAAGAAAAAATATTAATTTTCATTAAAATGTTCTATTATTTTATGTTAACGATTACTCATGTCTCTATCAAAATAAACCTATGTTTCTATGAAAATTGAAGCTTTTTTTTTTGCAGCCCACATAAACTTAAACCTTGTTTATTTGGCCCGTGTTAGCCTTTAAGTTTGACATGCTCGGTGTACATGGTAACTGCTGTGTGCACATTTAGGAAGCAAGTAAGAAGTCCAATTTTAGTTTAAAGAAGACAGGAAGAGATTGACATTTATTAAAACAGCCCTCCTCTCTGAAATCAATAAAGAAATATAAAATATATATATATATATAAAAGCCCAAGCCCTGGCTAGCAGCTCAGTGGTTAGAGCATGGCCTGCACACCAAAGGGTCTCGGGTTCGATTCCTGGTCAAAGACATGCCTGGGTTGCAGGTCAGATCCCTAGTCAGGGTGCATGCAGGAGACAACCAATTGATGTGTCTCTCTCGCATCAACGTTTCTCTCTCTCTTCCCTCCACTCCCTCCCTTCTTCCTACTCTCCCTCCCATTCTCTCTAAAAACCAATGGAAAAAATATCCTCTGGTGAGGATTAAAAAAAAACAAAAAACACTTTCAAAATTAAGCAAACATTTACTAAAAGAATATCTATTACATTTCCTTATTTTCTCCCTGAGAAAAGCGAACCTATGACCATAAAGCTGTAGTAAGTACTACTAGTAAGACACAGACGGAGGGGAGTGAGCTGCAGAAGGAGCTCAGCCACTTTGGCCAAAAGCAGTGAGGCCGGCTCGGAGACGGCAGTGGCAGCGGACCGCAAGCCGCTGGAGGAGTCAGCAGGGCTGGGGGGCGGAGGCCGAGGGAGAGGCCCTGGCACAGCGCCTGGCGCACAGCGGGCCGCCGAGTCTACAGTTAAAGGCACTTGGGGCAGGGAGCGCAGAGGGTGGCGGCCACAGGTACCTCAGTGTGGAGACTGTGGGAGGTGGTGTAGCATGTTGATAGTTTACAGTTTGTAGGCAGTGAGGATCCATGACAGTGATTTGAGTGACAAATGTCCTAGGTACAGCTAAGAACTGCTTTCATATTATGAAATATTTGACAAAATACCTAGAGGCCAAAGAAACTTAGGGACAGGTTGTTAGAGTTAGTACTAATTGAAAATGAATATACAGTACTTCTGAGATTAAAGGGACAAGATCTAATATGCAGCAAATTTTCAGAAACATAACTGCTTTGTAAATCAAATAGCCCATGTAGTAGATTTGGAAACAGAACAGTTATTATTTGATCTAAGGTAACGAACACCTACAATATCTGTAAGTATCCGTAAACCTTGTCTTAAAACTTCTACAGACTTTTTACCTGAGTGCCTATAGTTAGTATTTTAAAAGCAAAAACAAATGTGCTTTCCAAAAATGAAAAGGATTAAAACAACCACAATTTGGATCATAAACCCACAGAAATAGTCTTCTGCTGTGTCTGAGTGCGCGTTCACAACCAAAGGCTGGGGATGCAACACGGTTCCCACTACTCACCGCCGGCTTCACCAGCAGCTGGCCCATGACGGCGAACATGCGAGACAGGCCAACCGGGGTGCACACTGCGGGGAGAGGCAGACAACGCTTACTGCGAGCACGCAGACCGCCAGCCCGCACCCCGCGCGACGTCAGACTGGCCCTCAGATAGCTCTGTCTCCGCCTCAGACTCGCAGTGTCTGCCGAAGGCTACTCACCATGGTCAGAGGGCTGGCGAGTCACTTCCTACACGTGACGAGGGACAGGTGATGGCTAAAGACTGAGGACACGCGAGCCTCTAGCACAGCGGTTCTCAACCTTCCTAATGCCGCGACCCTTTAATACAGTTCCTCATGTTGTGACCCAACCATAACATTATTGTCGTTGCTACTGTTATGAATCGTAATGTAAATATCTGAGATGCAGGATGGTCTTAGGCAACCCCTGTGAAAGGGTTGTTCCACTGCCAAAGGGGTCGCAACCCACAGTTGAGAACCGCTGCTCTAGTTCAAAAACAAGCTCCTAAGCTCCAGCACGCTGCCCAACCTCATTCACAATGGCAGAAATGCCCACTTAAACAACAAAAGCATTT